AAAAAGAATTATAATAAATTAATAGATAAGCAATCACAATTAATGCCACTTCGCAGCAATAACAGTTATATCATGGGGAAGATATTTTCATCTGTCATTCCTTAAGGCGATGTTTTCTGAGCTTCAGCTTCTACCCAGTCAGACCCATGGGGTGCTAATGAATTAGTCTATTATGTTATGCTGAATGTTTCTAAAAGGTCCCTCGTCGATACTGAATTCAGTGTGTCAACATTTGGCATGGAGAACAGCAACTTTTTGCCAAGCAGCAAGGTTGCACACAGTTCACTATGTACAGCATTTGGGGTGTCAGCCTGGGGCAGTTTGCATAAAAAAAATTGGAGCTGGACAAAGAGGCCTCTTTACCAGCTCCCTGTTGTCACTACCCTCATGTCACAGGGATGGCGCATTTGGTGCCACAAGCGCTCCAGCACTTTGCAGCTAAGCCCAGCCAGGCTTGAGGTGACAGGGAGGAAGGTGACCCCAGCACTGCCACTCCCTTGTGTCCCCTCCTAGGCTGTGTGTGACGGCCCAGCAGGGGTGTCCAACATGCAGCCCATGATGGCTATGAATGCGGCCCAACACAAAATCGTAAATTTACTCAAAACGTTATGAGATTGTTTTTGCTTTCCTTACTGTTTGTGTATATGATGTGTGGCCCAAAACAACTCTTCTTCCACTGTGGCCCAGAGACACCCAAAGGTTGGACACCCCCCTGGTATAGCCTCTGTGTATGCGCCAGCAGAGCAAAGACTGCCTCTGGAGACCGGAAGGGCTATTGTCTCCAGCACCCAAAACCCCACTAAAGCCAGAGATGCCACCCTTCCTTCCCACTGAGTCCAGGTGTCCTCTGGTCCTAGAGGAGGGGGAGCCGAGTCACACAGGCCCTAGGTAGGCTAGTGCTTTGGCATCTTTCAGACCTTAGGTGTCAGGTACACATCGAATTGGAGAGGAGGCTGTGCCCCATGCAGGGGTAGACCAAGGAGAGCGCCCCCTGGGGGCAGAGCTCAGCTTCCCTTCCATGGCCCCAGCAAGTTCAGTTCTGGCCCCAAACTGGCAGGTACCACTTTGCAAAACAAAACCCCTCCATCTTTGCAGACCTACTTCCTTCAAAAGTGGTTTGGGTCAGATCTCGTGTCCCTACAGCCATCCCCTTGTGGGTTTCATCCTCCACCCCTGGTAGTTTACCAAACCACTTCTCACTTTCAGTCCCATCGAGAGTGCCCCCTGAGAGCAGGATGAGAAACACTAGTCTCTCCACGTCAGACTCGTTCCAGCGATGTTTAGGTGCCCAGAAAGCTGCTCGGCTAAAGCTGAACCTTCCTTCCACCTTGGTGGATGGGAGAATTTGGCTCAAGGGCTCATAGGGGAGACATCCCAGACATAGACACTTGTTGTCCATGGGGTGAAGTCCCAGAGGCCCCAGGATAAGAGCAGACACACCCCTGCCCCACCCTATCGTACACGTGTAGAGGAGCAGTCAGGGAGGCTTCCCGGAAAAGGTGACCCTGGAGCTGAACCTCAGAAAGGAGCCTGTCCAAGAAGAGTTGCAGAGAGAGGCACTCTAGCGGAGGGATGGAACACACACAAAGGCCCTGGCTCGGGAATGAGAAGCCATATGGTGGGCAGGGGCCTGTGAGGAATGGGAAAGGTGGGCAGAAATAGTTCAGTGTTTCTGGGCAAAAAATGGGAGGGCTTGGGAAGGAAAGTGCGGCCAGAGGGGCCAAGTGCTTGGTAAACTGTACAAAGGAAGTTGCACTTTTTTCCTGAGAAGGCAATAAGGATCCATTGAAATAGGCCTAGCACGGGAGTGACAGGGCTGGGAATGCCCAGGGCTGGGGTGTGGCGCGGACTGTAATATCCAGTGCGTGTGAACTGGGGCCTTGGGGGCACTTGTATCATCATAGGGCAGAGAGTTTGATGCCATTGCTCCCCAGCTGTGTCGCCTTGAGCAAAAGACTAATCTCTCCACCACTTGTTCCTCTAAAACGGGGTGATAATAACAGCCTCTTGCAAGGTGGAACTGTGAACTGAGTTAATACACAGGAGGTATTTAGAACGGGGCCTGCCATTCTGAGGTGTATAGATGCCCAGTAGACGTGAGCTCGTCCCGGTTGTCTTCCCGTTGCCCAGAGGGCCAAGGCAGGAAGGCCCAGCACCCAGCTGCCTTTCTCCTCCAGCAACCCAGCGATGTCCCTGGGGGCTCTGTCTGTGTGTCCCATGCACCAGACGTGTTCTCAGCACACCTGATAACCCCTTTCTTCCTCATGACAACCCTATATGGTAGGCACTACTACCATTCCCATTTTTCAAATGAGGAAACTGAGGCAATGAAAGTAGAGTAACCTTGGACCCAGATGGCCTGGCCTCATGGTTTCTACTCCTCACCACTCCCTGGGGCCACCTCAGTGAGCTGTAGTCAGGGAGGAGCCATGGGGAGAGAAGCCTTCCTTCCAGCTGTGTCCCCCGCCCCACCTTGCTGCATCCTTGCTGCTCCCTTCCTGGTTCCACAGGGATCCCCACCTAAGCTCTGTGTGCTTCCCAGTCAGAAGCAATGGCTTAAATGAGCGGCTTCTCAAAACACAGATGTCCCAGGCCCCACAGAAAGTCTGTGGCCTATACATTCACAAAAAAGCTCCAAAGACACTTCTGATGAATACCTTGTGTTCGACAATACTGGGGACATAAAGCACAGGGATTTTTTAATAGGACAGACAGTGGTGTACTAGTAAATGTGTACAGCCACCTCTCTAAAAGGCGAGGAGAAACCCAGATTTGAGTGCTTGCCAATTTCCGTGGTGTAAATACTCCCGTGATGGCAAATGTGAAGCTACCAATGTGATGCCACTGAACATGGAGTCAGGGAGAAGGGCTAACAATTAGCTCTCCCAAGCCAGTGTGAGCCAGCTCTGACACACCATTAAAATAGGCCTGGGTACAGATTCTGCTCCGCCTTGATGAGCTTTGTAACTGCAGGCAACTCCCCTGACCCCTCTGGCCTTGTGAACTCATCCGTATAAAGGGAAGACTGTTGAATACCCACTTTACAGGTGATTGTGATGTTTACATGATACACTCTCCATACAGGACTGAGCACTGTGACCACCCTCCACTCCCACTAAGATTAAGGCCACATAGACACACTCCGGCCAGTTCACTAGAGATCTCCCATCTGCTCAAGATTCTGCTTCCTGCTCCCCTGCAGCCCCTTCCCCATCCCAAATCCTGGCCTCGAACTGGGGCCATATTTGTTTGGGCAAGGCTGGGACTAAACTTTCTTGCTTGCGCTCAAGCCTGTCTACTCCCTAAACCTGCCAAGAGGAAGTCAACACAGTGCATCTCAGAAGGAGGCCATTTGGGGGTGGGGGGGGGGTTCAGGAAGAACAGGAGGAGTTTAGCAACAGTTAGGAAGACCTCAGAGACCAGAGGAAGCTGCACAGTGTGAGAGCTGTTCTGTGGCTCCAGGTTTTATCACTCGTCACCTTCCCATGAGCCACCATCAGACTTAATCAAAGCTGGGGCTCGGACAGGGCTGGATGCTCCTCCTCATGTCTGCAGCCACAGAGAGGCAAGAAGAGTGTCCCCAGCCCCTGTCTCCCGGCATGGGATGCAGCGACTTAAGCCTGAGGACCCAGGAGAAAGGAGGAACAAGGGCTCAGGGTGGAAGGCAGCTTGGCGAGGGAAGGCTGTGGAGAACAGACAGTATATGAGGAGGAGCTCTGACAACAGCCTTAAGGCTCAGTTTCCCCACTAGTGGGATGGGACCAACCTAGAGTGTCAAAGTATATTCTTTCAAACAAGTTAAAAAAAATAGAGTATAGCATGAAACCTGTGCCAAAGATGGACCAACTCATTAACAAGGGCGCCAGCGGGATGGCCATGCTGGCTCGGAGGGCTTTGGAGGGACCGAGTGCTTAGGTGTTTGATGGGGAAAACGCAGGGTGAGGCTGCTAGGTTAGAAACAAAGAGGATTAGCGTCCCACGGGGCAGTGAAACCACAAGTGTGGGGATCATCTCTCTTACATCCAAAACTCTGCAAGTGAACCCAAGTCTGGGCCTGCCTGTAACCAGCAGCCGAGAGTGAAGTCAGACTTAGGTGTGTTCCCCCGGGAGAATCACACAATCCTGGGTGGGCAGGTGAACCACGTTTCCATGCTGTTCTCCCACCTTATTTCCGAGTGTGGGGTAAGTTTTCCACACAGGTTAGAGGCCTGCTCCGCTCCTCCTGCTGCCACACCCCAGTGCCCCCACACCATCTCTTCTCAGCTGAGCACCTGGCTTCTCCCCCTCTGTCCGACCCCCTTCCCCAGAGCTGCAGGGAGGGTGGCGCTGGGCTGCCCCATGCAGGAAGGCCTGTTTTCCTGGCCTGCCCACTGCACCAGACTGGACGTGGCCCGGCCCACGGACAGACAGGCCAACCACCATCCGCTGCACCTTGGAGGCAGGGGGCGAGGAGGCCCTGGCTTGTGATGGAGACGAGGGGAGGGAAGAGGACAAGGGCAGTTGTACTCTTGGAATCCCCAGCAGAAAAGGCTTTTCAAGTACCCTCCTTTGGGGAATAAAATTCTCCCTTCAGCCTCACTCTGGGTAACTTGGAGATGCCCAGGCCCAGCACCACAAAGTGGGCCTCCCCCGTTGGAGGAAATGATCATCGTGACTTTTATCCAGCTACTGTGGTGTTTGAGGCTGGGCATTTTATACGAACTGCTTCACCAGGTCCCAGAAAGTAGGCACAGCCCCCATTTGTTAGATGAAGAAACAGGCAGAGCAACTTGCCCAGGGCCCGGCAGCGAGTGCGTGGGGTCGACCACCAAGCAGTTGGGCACTGCAGTCAACTCCCAGTGCGTTGCTCTCATGGCGGCCCCCTCACCACAGGCCTCAACCCCCGCCCCTTCGGCCTACAGGGAGCCGCAGGGAGGGTGCTGGGGCAGTGGGGAGTGTAGGTCAGTGGGCTGGCGATTACAGAGGACACACCTTTATTTCTGTGAACCTCTCTCTACCAGGATCTCTACGCATTAGACCTGGAGCCCTACCGCTATTCGGGGGTGAACCTGACAGGGTTCCGGATTCTCAACGTGGACAACCCCCACGTCTCAGCCATCGTGGAGAAGTGGTCCATGGAGCGGTTGCAGGCAGCTCCCCGAGCAGAGTCTGGTCTGCTGGACGGAGTGATGATGGTATAGCAGCAGGGTGTGCCAGACCCAGGGCTCCCCCTTCCCTCCCTCCTTCCTTCCCTCCCTCCCTCCTTCCTTCCCTCCCTCCTTCCCTCCCTCCCTTCCTCCCTCCCTTCTGTCCTTCCCTCCTTCCTTTTTTTTCCTTCCCCCCTTCCTTCCATCTTTCCTTCCTTCCACTCTTCCTTCCCATCTCTCCTTCCTTACTCTTTCCTTCCTCCTCTCCTCCTTTCTTCCCTCCTACACCCCCCTTCTTATGATCTGCTGTGTGTCAGCTGGACCTTAGGCTAGGGTCCGGGACACAAAGGAGTCAGACATAGCCCATCCCAGGATGGGGAGTACAGGCAGGTAAACAGCTGGTTACAGAGAGCTGCGGTAAGGCCCAGTGGATCCTGGGCTTGGAGGACTTTTGGCCATGACCAGCAGAGGCTGGGGAGGCAGGAAGGAGACAGTGTTGGCAGGGCCTAGGCAACAGCAGGGTAGTGGGATGGGGTGGGAGGGACTGCTAGAAGGTCCTAGCTGCAGAGGGTGGGAGTCAGGTGCCTACAGAGCTGCAGAGTCAACCTGTGCCTGGCCTGTCACCGGGACACGCATAGGGTCACTTCTGGGGCCTCATGGCCTTTCCCTCACCAGGACTCCACGTGTCTGGGGTCGGGGACAGGGCAGGGTGGGCAGAGAATTCCCAGGAGCTGTTCTCAGGCAGGCCCTGGGCCCTCCCCTCCAGACCGACGCTGCCTTGCTGTATGACGCCGTCCACATCGTGTCTGTGTGCTACCAGAGGGCACCCCAGATGACCGTGAACTCCCTTCAGTGCCACCGGCACAAAGCTTGGCGCTTTGGCGGCCGCTTCATGAATTTCATCAAGGAGGTAAGTGTTCCCCGTGTCGCCCACCAAGGCCAAGGCTATCTCCCTGGGTGGGGGTGGTGCTGCACAGCAGCCAAGGGCCCAGGTTTGGGAGTCAGATTCAAATTTCAATCCACATGAACTTGGGCCAGTTGCCTCACATCTCTGGGCCTCAGTTTCCTTGGATGAAAACAGGTGTGATAAGACCAGTCTTGCCAGTCTTACAGTGTGATCGAGAGGCAAAGTCCTTGGCACATAGTAGGTGCTCAGTGGGTGATCAGCACTGTCAGCAGGACACAGCACAGCACGGGCTTAAAGTACAACAGATGAGGGTCTTTGCCTCTGGCTGTGTGCCCTTGGGCAAACTCAAGAACCTCGTTGGGCCTCGCTTGTCTGTCTGTGCAATGCGGTAGGAAGCACTCCATGCCCATGTGGATGCTGTGAAGGGGAAAGGGGACCACGTGGGAAGTACTTAGTGCAGCGCAGAAGGCAGAGGAGGCTCGGTAAATAACAACCAGCCCCACAAACTCCTCTTGACATCACGGGCCTACCGACCAGCTTCCCGCCCCGGTCCCTGCCAGGACCCGGCTCTCCTGGCCCTATGGCAACTATGGAGAAGTCCCACCAGTGGAGCCGATCCATGGGACCAGAGAGCAGAAAACTGTCCTGCTGCCGAGAAGGTGACCATGGAAACATAGTGTGCCTACTTTTAATTTCAAAGGACTCTCCCCAGCACCGCTGTCCCTGTAAACTATGGAGGGCAGTAAACTATGGAGATGGTTAACTCTTCGATCCTCGGTTTCCTCGGTGTGTCATGAAGATGGTGGGTGTGCCCGCCTCAGAGTGTTGTTGGCACGGCAGCGGAAAACTGCACCAAGCCCCTCGCCCGGGGCTGGGCCCAGGCAGATCCCAGTACATGGTGGATGAAGAAGGTTCATGGGGACTAGATGTGGGCAGGGAGATCCTGGGTCAGAGAGAGCGGCCCTGTGAGGACAACCCCAACTGCACTTCGGGGAAGCTACCCAGGAGGGCTCCATATAGGCAGTCTCTTCGAAGCAGGCACCCACCGTGGGCCAGAAATGAGGCCAGCTGCCTGGGGAGTTCATTTACTCAGTAGCTGTTTGTGTGGGCCTGCCGGGTGCCAGGCAGCAAGCTGCAGCAGACGAGCCCTGCGCTCCCCAAGCTCACAGCCTAGGCAGGCATCGGTGAAGTTACCGCGTTAACGAGGGGACTCGGACACCTAAAGGAAGGCAGCGCTCCCAGGGTGAACTATAAAGAAAGCCACCTCCTCCTACTCTGTGGACTGGGCAGCGTTCCCGAAGGTTCCACACTCACTGTGGCTGCTTGGGATGAGGCCTGTGACAGCTCCTCCTGCATTTTAGAATGACCCCAACAGGGATACAGATGAGACACAGGCCTGAGAGTGTGATGCAGGTGCCTTTGGAGTTTATCTCTACCTCTGCCCAGCTGTGCGGCTTTAGGCAAGTTCCTGGACACCCTCAAGCGTCAGTTTCATCACCAGGCAAACACTGTCTCACAGTCACTGTGGGGGAGCCTTGGCCCTGGGTCCCTCGCTCCTGGAAGGGACTCTGGTGTCAGGCATTGCGGTACAAGAGGACCATGACGGCCCCTTCTCATTCGTCCCCTCAAAATGCAGCGCAAGTTCGACTGCTCACTGCCCCGAACAAGGCCTGGCTGGCCTGCATGGTCATCGGCTTGTTCTCAGGGGCTCTGAGGTCTGACTCCTCCCTCCTGTACCTCCCTCCTCGGCAGGCCTCCAGCTCAGTAGCTCAGGCCCCAGGAGAATCACCAGACTCCCTTAGGAGACAGATACAAGTAGCTTTGAAGGTAACCGCTTTGGGGCTGTGTGGCCTTAGAAAAGCTACTGAACCTCTCTGTGCTTTGGGTCCTCCTCTGCACCATGGAGATAATACCAGGGTTCTTGTAGGATTCAGTGAGTTATGGTGGGTGTGAAACCAGGACACTGCCTGGCACAGAGCCAGTGCCGAAGAGACCAACTGTGATTACTACTGTTTCTGTCATCGCCACTGTCATCGCGATGGCTTCTTGTTCCGTGGCAGGCTGTTAGCGAAAGGAGATCACAGTTTCAGGAACCTCCACTCTGTGTTTGCTTCTCACCCCTGGGAATGGTTGAGGCCCGGTGGTGAAGCCTGGGTGGGAGCAGAACCCTCACCGGCCACACCATAGGAAAGGGAGCCCCCTGCCCCCTCCAGGGGCTGGTGGGCCCGTGGGGGTGTGGCCGGCCACCCCACCTGTACAGAGCCCTATCAGAAACATCTTTGTCTTTCCTTAGGGCAGTGATTTTCTACCGTTTTTTTATAATCTCATGGCACACATAAGCTAACTACTAAAATTCCGTGACATACGAAAAATCTATTTTTTGCCGATCTCACAGGAAAAATGGAACAGGTATAATTTTGATTCACTCACACTGGACGGCTGTTGTTGTGTTGGTTGTTGTCATTTTCTTATTTGACACTCTAAGGGAAAAGAGGTCAGTGCCCGCGACTAAATAGTCAGGTGTTGTATTTTAAAAATCCTTGCAGCACTCCAGTTGAAAATCGCCGCCTTGGGGTGTGGAGACCCAGGTCTGGAGCAGCCACACGGCTGGCCCATGGTGCTGCGCTGGCCAGCACTGGCCGCCGGGGCCCTGCGGGGGCCCGGCACAGTCTTCCCTCAGACCATTTCCAAGTTGCCCGTCTCCCCATCTGACTGCATGACAGTAAATCATTTTAAAGACTTGGCATTTCCGAGAGGAGCTGGAAAATGCCAGGCCGGAGTTCAGAGCGTGTGAAGCATCTTTCATTTAGCGAGTCCTAAGCCTCGGCTGGAAGGGGCGGGAGGGCCGGGAAATGTCACAGGGAGGGGCTGCCAGTGGCTCCCTGCCCTGGCCCTGCCCCTGCCCACCGCCCACCGGCAGGCGCTGCACCTGCTAGCATTTAGTTGCTCCGAGGCTGACAAGGAGGAAGAACTCCACCGAGAGTGCAGGATTGAAGGCGCCTGCTGTGATTTCCCTTGGGGGCCAGGAGATAGCCTGAGGCTGTGGGAGCCCACAGACCGAGAAGGGCCACAGGGACTGCGGAGCCAGCCTGAGAGAAGCTGAGTTTCCCCTTGGGGCCATAAGCACTGGTCTTCCCCTTCTCTGATGCATCTTCCTGGGGCTCCTTGGATCTCCCCACTCAATGTGGGGATGATGACCCTGTGCTCTTCGTCTCGGCCCCAGCAGGGAGGGGGTCTGCACCACTGTTGCTTGGGGCCTGCACAGCTCAGCCCCTGTTGCAGCCTCAGTGCCCATGACTGTAAAATGGGGCAACAGTGACACCCACCTGGCAGGGCTGGGAGGAGAACTGAGTGAGCTCATGCAGGGATGAGTCCTCTGTGACAAGGTTTCCACTGAGGCCTCAGGCCTTGGCCCGTGTGCAGCCCCCTCCCCCACAGCTGAGGGCCAGCCCCAGTCCATAGGAGGAGCTGGAAGAAAGCAACGAGGGGAAATAATAACATATACCACTTCGAGAGCATTGTGTGTAGTGTATATATGCCCCCCCCCTTACTGCAGGGGATATGTTCCACCACCCTTCCTCAGTGGGTGCCTGAAACCACACACAGTGTCAGATCACATACGTATATTTTTTCCTCTACATACCTACCTGTGACAAAGTTTAATTTGTAAATCATACAATGTCATAGCAGAAGATTTGTTCTTACCATAGATCTTAGCAGCCTCAGTGTACAATTTTTTTCCTTACTAAGTCTAGAACTTCCACCATTGCACTCACGGGAAGCCCTTGGCGGTTTCTCTTTGACGTATGCGAACAGCCAGCATCACTGCCCTTGTACTTTGGGGTCGTTGTGAAGCACGGCAAGGGTCCCTTGCGCATAGGCACTGCCACACCACGACAGTTGACCCGATGACGCAGACTGCCACTAAGTGACGCCAGGGTGGGGTGTGTATACTGCATGGATGCACTGAAGAAAGGGAGGGTTTTATCTCACTACCCAGGGTGGCATGTAATTTAAAACTTACAAATTTTGCCTATTTCTGGAGTTTTTCATGTACTAGTTAAGGACCACAGGTAACTGAAACCATGGAAAGCAAACGTGCAGATAAAGGGGGACCACTGTATGTCCGGCACTGTGCTAAGCACTGTGCACACCTGTTGGAACACGACCTAGGGAAGTCGGTAGTTTTCCCCTTCCTGGAGCTCCGAGAGCTCAGATTCCGTGTGCGAAGTGCTGGGCCAGTGTCTGCATTCGCCCCTCCAGGCACGTAGGAAGACTTTCCAGTGGCCTTAGAGCGGCTCAGGTGCTTACAGATTCCCAAAAGTTTTTGTTTGGGATCAACAGGTAAGCCTCCAGGGATCTGGACCTGTGAACCCATGGACTTGTGTGTCAAAGTATGAGTGTAAGCAGGGACACAGGGGCCATTCGGCCAGGGGGAGCCTGGGAGCCTTTCTCTGAGCCTGTAAGGGACCATGAACCCAGCGTGATGCGCACAGTGTGGCCACACAAGGACTCTGACAGTCAGACCCCTCCTCCCGTGTTCCGGGCCCTTGGGCCAGCCAGCTCCCGGGCTGACTGTAGGAGCTCCCAGGTTCTCTCCCTCTCTGAACTCCCAGCCCACCTTTGTTCCCTAGGACTCCAGGATGGGCGGGTTTGTCCCACCCCCAGACACAGGAAGCCACCCATCCTGGGCTCTTACCTGTGTGCCTGCTGCATCCTAACCCTAAGGAGGAGGGAACCACTTCAACCTGGAGGGTGGGGACCTGGGACCCCGGCTTCAGCTTGGTTCATCCTGTTTTCCACTCTGTGAGTTTGGGGGACCCTCCAGGCCTGCTTCCTGATCTATAAAATGGGCTCCTCACCTTCCAGGATGGCTGCAGGGATCCCAGGGCACGCACAGTGTGAAGTGCCGCGCAGAGTTGACTGTCTGGGCCCACCAGAGAGGTATCACTTGGGACAGGAGTCTGCAAACGGCTCCTGCAAAGGGCCACATCGTAAATATTTCAGGCTCCTCAGGCCGGGTGGTCTCTGTTGCAACCCTTCAGCTCCGAAGTTGGAGCAACAACAGCTGCCAAAGACGATGGGTAAACACATGGGCATGGCTATGAGCTAAAAAACTGTTGACAAAAACAGGCATCGGGCAGGTAATTTGCCAACCTCTGCTCTACACAGAAGATGGAGCTTTTACCGGTTGGGACCTGAACCTTCTCTGAACCGCTGTCTGCCTCTCTCTGTGAAATCATGCTCATGGAAAGCTACCATTTTATTCAGAGCTCAGGTTGTACCAGACACCATTCTGAGTATTTTACAGGACTTACCTCCTGTTACCATCATCACATTTTGGTAAGGTGTTCAATTGTTGGTTCCATCTTATAGATGAAGAAACTGAGGCAGGAGTGCAATGAAATTCCCAAGGTAACACAGCTAACTGCGATCAATCCCAGCATTCTGATGTCACGGGGCTGGGGCCAGGGGTGGCAGAGGTGACCCTCTCTGTCTCCCCTGGCTCTCTGGGGACCACTCCAAGCATCTGGCCTTCCCGCCAGGGCCGATAGGGCCCCTTGGCTTTTGTGCCTCCCGGCAGGGCTCGCCTGCCCTGCTCTGCCCGCCTGCCTCCCTGCCCCTCTCTGGGGATCTGACACGGGCTTCCCCGGCGTGTGGCTTCGAGGCGGGGGCTCATTTGAGCGCGTCTGAGATCGATGTTGTACACGAGAAGGTGCAAATGTAAAGCTGGCTAAAGAGCATAATAGAATTTATGGAAATCGCTGGCTCGCACCACAGCCCGAGCAATGATGGAGGTGATTATTAATTAATCATGGTCTTGGGGGAACAGTATCAGTGCAAGGAGTAATTAAAATGAAGCATTGTACAGTTGTACCGAATGATGATTTATGAGCCCGAGGAATTGCCGCTCTGCCCTCTCCTCTCCGGCAGGCTCAATGGGAAGGATTAACTGGACGGATTGTTTTCAACAAAACCAGTGGCTTACGGACCGATTTTGATCTGGACATCATCAGTCTGAAGGAGGACGGCCTGGAGAAGGTGCGTGGGCTCAGGAGTGGGAGGGGCCGAGACCCAGTGTGGCCGGCTTGGCATGACCAGGTGTGCGGCCTGTGCCTTGGCCCTTCCGAGGACAAGGAGCCCTGGTCAGGCGAGTGGTGCAGAACCCAGTGGCCTGGCCATGGTGGACACCCAGACCATTGGAACAGCAGCCACTGGGGATGTTTAAAGTGGGAAAGTAATGGAAGGCTCATGGGGACGACAGACTGTCCCTTAAGTCTCTGCAGGGCTGTCACGGGACAGACATATCCTTGGGTAAGAGAAACTTTCTAAGGACCAGGGGTACCTGCCTGAAGAGTGAGCTCACTGTCACTGGAGGCATGTAAGCAAAAAAATCAAACAAAGTAATTGCTTGTCTGGCACACCGGAGGTGACTCACTCTTGAAGAGACGTTGAAGCATGTGGTTTCTGAACTGCTGTAGCCTTCGAAGGCCTTTATGATTCCAGGGAGTTTGGACAAGGAAAACAGGCCCACTGGGGCCTTGGGGACTCCCATTGGGCTACCACAGAAATGCCTTTAATGGGCCCCATTCTGATCCTGGGAACCGTCGGCATATTCTGGCGCGGTCAGACTGCTGGGCTGAGAAGGGGGACTTAACATGAGCTCCCAATTCTCAGTGTTCCCTGGGACCTCAGGGGCCAGGAGCTCAGCCACACTCTCCTCCCACAGCAGGCTGGTCCCTGGTAGCCACCAGGGCACCTCCCCAACCCTGGGAGTGATTAAAAAGCAGGGAGCAGGGGCCAGGAGGAGCAGGGGCCAGCTCAGATGTCTGTGGGCCTTCAGGAGTCCTTGATTCCTCTTCTTCCTGCCTGCCCCAGTCCTGGCCTGTTCCTTAGATTATGCTGGCACCCCACCTGGCTTTCTACCTCCACCCCTGAGCTCTCCATCCTGAGCTCACCTGTACACACAGGTGAAGCCTCCCAGCACACAGCTCTCCCTGCTCTGAAACTGCCCATAGCTCCCTGGTGCTGAGTCAGTAAGCTTCAGCCCCTCTCCCAGCCTTTAAGGTTCTCCGAGAAGCACCCCAACCTTCCCCTCCAGGCCTAGTGTCCACTGTCCCCCAAAACACTCCCCACAGTCCTGTCACACACCCTTCCTGTTGCACCTCGGGGCCTTCACCCATGCGATCCATCGCCCTGGTTGCAGAAATGGCCCCTGTCTCCTTGGTTCATTTCCTCTGACTCAGACGTGGCTCTGCTTGGGTTGCATCTTGTGGCCAAGGTTACTCCATTCACTCCTGAGTTTCCCACAGATTCATGGGGCCACCGTCCTGGGGAGGGGCGGCCAGGGAAACTTCACCATAACTCAGCAGCTCTCTGGTGCCGGATATAGCATCAGTCCCTTAAGGACAGGCCCTGTGGCCTCTGCTCCTAAAATCTTCAAGGCCAGTTGAGATCCAGCCCTATCCACAATAGGTGAGTTCCCATTAAGCAGTCTTCTCGCTTCTATTCAAACTCCCCCAGTGCTGGGGAGCTGCCTTCTTCCTCGTGCAGGACTGTAGCGATACAGTATTCACTCAAGTAGCGGCCTTGTCTCTGCTCTCTCAGCTGTCCATCTCTGAGCATAGCCTGAAATTCTAAGGATAGCAATTAGATGGCACGCAAGCCACCACTTCCCACTCCTGTGCCCGTGGCAGGCATCAGTAAGTGGTCATCTGAGCTCCCTTTTCCACTGAGCCCTCCCACAGTATCCTTCTCCCGGCAACTGGTGCAAATTGATCACAGCTAATACTCTACGATGCCTGGACTAAGGCTGACCTGCAGAGGTCCCCCTCAGAGGCTCCTGATCGCAGCCACCCTGATTCTGGTCCTAACTATCCTCAGTCCTAACTGTCTCACGTCCCTACGGCACCTGGAGTTGAGCAGGGCTTACAGTTGGAGCTCAACAGATGCTTGCTAGGGGAAGAGTTCCTGCTGTTCATTTGGCCTCTGGACAGATGTTTGGTGAGCACCTCCTGCACCCATGCAGGCTGCAAGGGACCCTTGTACTGAGCTTGGCCCACTTGAGAGAAGAGCGTCTTTCAAGCTGTCTCCTTGTCTCCTCTCCTCTTGCCCCAGGAGGTCTACAAAAACGAGATCCTGCCTGGAGAAGGTGCTGAGCCCCCAAGCACAGGCACTCTGCCTCTCATACCATCACTTCTGTTTGCTAAGCTGGGTCATTGCTGATCCAGCCAGCTCTAGCCAGTGGCTTTGGGAGGATTAAGGCAGAATTTCCCAAGCATAATTACATGTCTCTCTGCTATCTGCCTTGCACAGCTCTCTTAATGGGATGTTTGCACTCAGTCTCTCTGTTTAATTGATTAAGTTTCCTGAGGAACCCCCGACTGGGCCAAGGACACAATGGGCATGCTGAACCCGTCCTTGAGAAAGAGGAGCTAAGACTGGCGCAGGGCTGGGCAGAGTTGGGTCCAAAAGGACCTTTAAGAGTCCCAGGGCTTTAGAATGATTTGTAAACTTGATCTTCCCTCGCCTCCCTCCAGCCTGAGGTCTGATAGCAACAAGGGCACTGTGGGGACAGAGATTAAGCTGCCTTCCCCAGGGTATCTGCCAATTTTAGAAGTAAAACCACAGAGCTAAAGCCCTGCAAACCCAGCAGCATCCAAGCCTCCAGTGCAGGTCCTCCACTCTGTCCTGCCATCCCCAAAACAGCTACAGAACCCAGCCTCCTGCCCTGCCCGCCTTCCAGCATGTGGCACATCTCAGCATCCCTTCACTCATTCCACAGATGCTTGAGAACACCTCCCAGGCCCAGGCCCTGTCCTCAGCTTTGGAGGGCGTCTGGCCCTAGAGCTGCCCTGGGGCTGAGACCCAGTGGGTGAGCAGCTGGGGCCCTGGGTCTTCCTCAGGAGGTAGGAGGCTCAGAGGAACTCTGCCCCTGGGGAGGACCTGGCCTTGACCCTGACCCAGGACCCCTGATTTCCTCATGCCATTTGCTCCACCCCAGGATGGTTTCCACCTTTATGGGCTCCCTTTATGTTCACCTGTCCCCTCTGCATTTCCCCCATCAGCTGGGGAGGGCCTGCCACCCAGGGAGATGTGGCGGACCTCAGGAGACTCCCCACCGTGGGGGTCTCCTCCTGGAAGGAAGGAGGCAGCAGGGCTGTCAGGAAGCTCAGCTCCAAGCAGGGTAGCCATGACAGAGATGGGCATGAAGATCGGGATGAAGACGATGGGCTCACTGATGTGGAAACAGGACGGAAAGACAGAGGATTCAACACCCTGTTCTGTCTGTCTGTCCATCCAGGTTGGGGTGTGGAGTCCTGCCGAGGGGCTCAACATCACAGAGGTCGCCAAAGGCCGAGGCCCTAACGTCACCGACTCTCTGACAAATAGGTCACTCATCGTCACCACAGTGCTGGTAAGAGCCTGCGGCCTCACAGGAGGGACTGTCTGACGTGGGGGTGGGCTGGCCATCAGGGCTGGAGGGGCCCCCACTGCCCTACCCCCCATCGACAGGGTGCCTCTTATGAAGATGATGGGAGGCTGGAAGCTGGGGGAGGTGGAGCTGCAGGAAGATGGGCACAGGGTGGTTGCTCAAAACAGCCCTCAGAGCCCTGGCCAGGTAGCTCAGTTGGTAAGAACGTCATTCCGATACACCAAGGTTGTGGATTCGATTCCCAGTCAGGTCACAAACAAGAATCAGCCAATGGAGGCATCAATAAGTGGAACAACAAATCGATGTTTCTCTACTTCTATCTCTCTCCCTTCCTCTCTCTCTAAAATCAATAATAAAAATTTTTTTAAAATGGCCCTCCAACAGAGAGCGCTGGAACACAGCAACTCTGCTCAGGGCCACAGGCCGGAGGCCTCCTCCCAAAGCCAGAGAGCTCGGTCCTCATGCCCGCCTGCGTGGCCAGCCCCTTCTGCAGAGCCCTCTGTGTCTGCTGCTCACTCCGCCCACTCCCTGAGCCGGAAGTCTGAATAGGAGCCATGGTGGTGTGGAAGAAAGGAGGGTTGACCTGACCTCTGAACCAGGACTCAGGTTCTACCTCTTCCACCTCAGTCCCCAGGGATAGGCCCTTCTCACTGGTCCCCCCGGTGGGTGGGTGCTCAGGCCACACCTGGAGAGCCCCTTGAGTGCTCAGAGCCCACACACACGCCCCACTCCAAAGTGCCCCATCCTGAGAGCTCTTGGCAGCAGCCATTCTACCTGCCACCTCCCTCCATTCCCAGACTGAACAGTGCCACTCCCTTACAAACATGTCCACCCAGGGAGTGGCTTTTGGGGTCTCTGCACTTTGGAGCTCAGAGTGGGCAGGACTCAGTTAGGCCGCTACCCTCCTCTGAGTGGCCAGTGCTGTGCCCACTCCACGTATGCCAGCCCCTCTTGGAAAACCTCCACGGTGACAGGACTCAGGACCCTCCCTCCCAGAGACACGGCACTGCTCTTGGGGGCCCACGCTGGGCCATGTTGCAGGGAGGCAGCCTAGTCACAGCCTGGTGGGTTCTGACCAAGCACCCTTGGAGGACAATGCTGGCCCTGGTCAGCTTCCCTTTATAATAAAGCAAAACGTTTGCAAGGACCACATGGTAAGATCATTTTCTTCAAAAAACAAACAGAGAAAGAGCTCTGTTTGCAGTGCTTGGATAAAGTAAGGCTGTCACAGGATAGAAGCTGGGAGGCAGGGCTGGGCGCCCCATGCCTGGTCCCTCCACGGGGCTCTCACAAGGCTGGCCTCGCCTGCCCGCCACCGGAGGCAGCTCAGCCAGGCCCTGCTGGATGCCCTGTGTACTCCTTCTGGTGTGATTCACCGGTGATGTGCTTGGTAGCTGGGCAGTGGGCACCATGGAGCAGGAAGGGGTGGAAACCCCATCTTCCCAGGAACCCTGATGAACAGACACCAGGGCCACCGTTGGCTTCTAGGGAGCACCGTGGACTGTGGGTCTCAGCCCCAGTCTCCAGGGTTGTGATTGAGAGGATTCAAATCAAAGATGACGGGGACCTAGCCCTGGCTGGTGCAGCTCAGTGGATTGAGCGTGGGCTGCGAACGAAAGTATCGCAGGTTCGATTCCCAGTCAGGGCACATGCCTGGGTTGCAGGCCACGGCCCCCAGCAACCACACATTCATGCTTCTTTCTCTCTCTCTTTCTCCCTCCCTTCCCTCTCTAAAAATAAATAAATAAATCTTTAAAAAAAATTTAAAAAAAAGATGATGGGGACCTAATGCAGGCTCTGGACACTCTGCTGAGCCAAAGTGAGAGGATGGGGGAGACGCCAGCCCACCCCCCTGCCAGTTTGGGGTGAGACTCCCTCTGGCATTGTCCCTGATAACCATGTATCCTGCTTGCCTTTATTGACTGACTTTTTGTTAACTACAAATATATAAAAATCAGACTGTTAAAACCAGCAAGTCCAAAGATCTCATTAGGAACAGGGGAAAAAAAATGTAAAAAAAAAAAAGATTAAAAAGAGCAAAGGGATTAGAGTGAGGACTAATGAGCAATTAAAGGAATATTGATGTGGATAAAAATAGAAAAAGATAAAAAGAGAGTTGAAAGAGAACAAAATAAAAAGGTTAAAAGGAAAATAATAAAGAGAATAATGAAAAGGAACACGATCAAGAGAGATGAAAAATTAAAATAAATATTTAACAGCTTCGGCGAGACCAGGTAAAAAAAAAGAAATGTAAAACCAGAATGTCAGGAAGCAAAAGGATAAAAGTGTGACAAAGCTGAACTATAAAAGGGTAAAAATAAAATAATAAAAAGTGTGAAAGATTAAAAGCAGAGCTCCATAAAATGTGAGCTATCAATAAATAAAGCACATTTTACAAGTTAAGACTTAAGAAGGTAAAATGAGGATGCTTGAAGAGATTGGGAGGAGAGGTGATTCAATGAGCAAAGGCGATTCAGCCACAAAACACTATTCTAACAGCTCGAGGCGAGCCAAAGGTCATGTGCCAAAATGGTGCAAAATACGCCTTGAAAGGCCACAGGGCTAACTTTTTATTAAAATGTTGGCAGCCTGATTTCAAGGGCATAAGCCCCTTCTGCAAAGGCACCGATGGTTTTTCTACATCAGCAGAAAAAGAATCCGGAAGATATTCCCCTGTTCTTCTTGAAGTTTCTTGGTCAGTCCTGGAAGCTTCTTGCACAGCTACCTGCCTGTACTCAGTTGCTCACCAGAGGTCCTTCCACCTGAAGCACCAGGCGCCTCCCCGGGACTCAGGGAGGATGTAGAAGGAGAGGAGCCCCTCTTGGTCCACAGCTGGACACGGCTCCATCCGTGCCACTGCCCTTGTCCAGGCAAACATGAGCGCTGCAGCTCGCTGGGATGTGCAGTGTGAGCAGGACGCGGGAGCAAGCCTGTGTGATGATGTGAAGAGCACACAACCCTGGGTTTGAGCCCTGGCTTTACTGTTCACCAGCTGTCTGCCTGGAAACTTGTTTAACCGTTCTGTATTGCAGTTTCCCACCTGAGAAAGAGGGCTTATAATAATTGTACCTACTTTATAGAGTTGAGAGGAATAATGATTAATAAATGTAAGTGGCACAGACTGCATGCTAAGTGATAGCTGTCGTTGTTATTAATTCATATTATTATGGATTACAAATCCAGTCCCCAGGAAGCTCAGGCTTAATACAGTATGCAGAATGACAGTTCTAGAGAAAACCTCTGAAGTTCAAGCAAAACCCTGAACTTCATTGAAAACTGACCCCTGACCATGGTCACAGAGGTTATCCCTAGCACAGGGTGCATCATAAACTTTGAGCTTGCATTTTAATGCCTTTCAGGCCCTCATCCAGGGGGCGAGTGGGCATTCCCTAGCTCACCGCAGACCACCTCTACCACCTCTTCATTGTTCCCGTGTGGATGCCTCTTATGTAATTGTTTCCTGACCGGCTCCTGAAGGCATTGGGGCTTGTGACCTCATGAGGCCCTCATAGCTCCTGCCTCCTACCTGTATGTAAAACTCTAGATCACACCCACCACCTCACCCCCTGCCCTGGCAACCCCTGAACTCGTGGCCCTGACATCATGATTATTCCCTACTCCTGGCCCCATTGCCTTGGAAGCAACTCATGGCTGCTGACCAGACGTCCTGAAGCAGACGTCCTTCCTCAGAGTCTTCTGAGAGAGAGATGCCCACTCCCACACAAGGACTGGCCTGGGGCCACCTGAAGACCTAGAGCTGGCCCAGACCTTCCAGAGACTACACCAAAAAGTCTCAGTGTAGTCTCCATGTCCCCTAGCCCTGGGTGCCCCCAGCTTGAGCTCTTTGGGACAGCTGTACCAGTTGTGGGCAGAAGCCCAGCCCCAGCTGCTCTGGCTGAAAACCAACCCTATGCTTTGGCAGCCTGAAAGCAGGGCCAGCACCGCTGGCTGCAGGCACTTGAGGTGGGGGGTGGCAGGAGGGGACAATGCTGCCCTTCTAGCAGTGTGTTGTCAGGGCAGTGCTCTGAGTGACAGGCAGGTACAAGGCAGGAAGATCTAACTGCCCTGGCTCTGGTGAACAGGGCTAGCCCCAGACCCCTGGAGTCTGGATGTGGCAGAGATCCATCTTGGTGCGGGCTACCTGCAAACCCACCCCCTCCCTATCCTGAAGCCCAGAATTAGTTGGTAGGGGCACCTTATCCTGGATACAGGTGGACGGAGCCCTGACCCTACCCTCTCTGGCCCCTCCTTGTCACAAACAGTCTTCTTCATTCTTGAGGCCAAAACAGCTGCAGTGGGAGCCTGGATGCCCGCCCTCCTGCCCTCTCCTTGCCTGGCTCCTGCAACAGTTCTGGTTCTGCTCTTCCATGAGCTCATAAAAAATTCATCCACCCAAACCTCAGCTCAACACCAAGAAAACACGCCTGACTCATTCCTGAGGGCCCTGCTTTTGAAGGTTCAGTGTTCTTTTGGCTGCTGAAGTGAGCGGTGGTGTCAGCATGCACGTGGGCACGTGTGCGTGCATGTGTGTGTGGGACTGCTATGCCCAGGTGTCTGGATACACACAGGTGGGTGTATTTGCACCTTGCGAACATCATGACCCATACAGACTCAGCGGCCAGGCAGGTGGACCCGTGGCATCCAGCGACGGGAGGCCGGGACATGGGCTGGGAGAGCCATCCTAGGCCAAGGACCACTCTAGGCCAAGGACCACTCTAGGCCACACCTGCTAGAAAGGCAAGACACCTAATACTCTGTGCTGAAGCCAAGGCCTCGGGTCCAGGGTCCTTGGCCTCTTTGTCCGATCAGGGCTAGGCAGACGGAACATTCAAGAATGTGGTATATTTGTTCCAGTGGCATTGTGAGTCCACATGCAGCAATGTGGTGTACACGTGCGTGTGGATATTTCCTATGTCAGAAAAGGGGGTGGGAACATGGCAGTTCAGTCGCTAACCCCTGGATCCTTCCCGCAAAGACCTCCTCTTCTGACTCCACAGTCCTGTCACTGTGAGAAGTTCGGCACAGGGCCGGGCTCTCACCCTGGCACAAGTGATCAGAGAGAAGCTAGACGAAGAGCCCTGGCGACGAAAAGTCGGAAAAGGTTATTTCTCTGGACCTCTGTTTCCTGTGACTTGTTGAAGAGAAATATTACCCCTGTTCCTTTAGCTGTTCTCCCAGAGCAATAGGAGAGCGTGAAGTTTTGAAATTGAGGGCACCTTCACCGAGCAATCGATTAGCAGCCGAGAGAACTTGTGAATTGGCTGTCTGGACATTTCCAGTAATAAATTGTGAAATAGTCCATGAATAAGTAGTTGGCGGAGTTCAGAATTACCCCCTAGGAAATGTTGCAGGTCTAGAGACACATTACTAAGGCGAGCACCATTTTAATGCTCTGGGCTTTGGCTGTTAAATATGTATGCCATCCGCAAAGCACTTCTCGAAATTAATGGCATTTTACAGCTGCTCCGAAGGCAGCGTATTTATATGGAGATGTATAGATTCTGGGGCTGTGGTGGCTTCACGAATGAAGTGCTAATTTTAGAGGATAGGGCCAGGGAGGGGAGAGGAAAGAGGCTCAGGAAGTGAGCTACCTGGGGGACCTTTGCCCAAATGGTTCTCCGCTGCCAGCTACGATTTTTAACCTTTGGTGACATTAGGCATGGTCTCTAGGCTGGGAAGGCCACTGTGGCAACAGGCCACCCAGCACACAGAAAGACGATAATAACTACATTAACAATAATTATAATATTGGCAGCCTACACTTGCCAGGCACTGTCCTAAGTGCTTTCCATAATGTGACTCATTTAAAGTGCACAACAACTTTGTAAAGTAGGTTCTATTATTATCCCCACTTTACAGAAGGAGGTACAGTGTGCCCAGGAACCTAAGTAATTCCCCTTGGAAGGACGGTATCTTCTCTCCAGGGACCTCCTTGAGCCAACATTAGGGCCACCAGGTGCAGTGGGCAGCACTTTGTTCACTGCACAAGAGCATCCGACCCAAAGGATGCATTGGGACGGATCCCTGCACAGGCTTAGCTCACCAGGCCCCTGCCAGGGTTCCAGGCAGCTCCTTCCCAGAGTCAAATTAGCACAAAGGCAGCATGTGCACTAGCCAAAGTCCCCTTTCCCTCCAGCACCTTCGTCAAGCCCCAGCACCTTCTCCGGCCCCACCTGGATTCTGTTCTCCAATCTTGTGATCTGCCTGACTGGTTGGAGGCTGAAGATAGGAGGCACTATGGTTTAACATGGAGTCCAGCCAAAGGACCCAGCTTTCCACCGAATTAGACTGAGAAGTGGTTTTCTCAGAATCCCTGGAGAGATGGGAACCCCTTGGGGATTCAGACTCTTTCTCTGAAGCATCCCCAACGACTGTTGAAAATCTAGAGTAAATCAGTCGTGGGGCAGGATGGGATTTTGAAAGGCAGTGTTGCTGGGGATCCAGGACCAGAGAAACCAGCCCGCCTGTCACAGCGGGAGCCTGGCAAGAGGCTGCTGGTGGGTATCTGCACCCAGGGACCTCTGATGAGGGCCTTTGCCCAAGCCTTTCACTGCTCACCCCACTCCAGGGGCCCACGGTTGAGAGAATGATGAGATGTCTGCACAATCTGGTGTGTGCCCTTCTTGTGGGCTTGTGTCCATGAGATTCCCAATGCACGTGCATTCTGTCAGCGAATGGGTTTCACCCATCAGCTGAAGGCCTGAGGCCTTCTGATACCTGGGGCTGCTGAGATGGCTTTGGGGAAGATTAAGGCCCAGAAGGAGGCTGAAGGATTGGGACTGAACTCCATTAGACTGTAGTTCAACCCTTGTGCAACTGCGGACAACATACTGACCCTCTCTGAGCCTCAGTTCCTTTATCTATCAAATGGGGATAATGTCACCTACCTTGGAAGCTTGTGAGGCTTAAAGCAAACAGCCTGTGGGAAAGTGTTGAAATCCGTGCCCGGTGTATAGCAGGAAGCCAATAAAGGTTGAGTTTGCTAAGCGTTCTGGTCTCCGGGACCTTGTTTGGGAACCAGTTTGCTAAGCCTGATGACATGGGGCAGCTGCTACCTGTGCTACATTCCAAGGACCCCTCCCCACCAGACAGAGACACCTCACGACTCAGGGCCTGTAACACAATGAGGTGGGTTAAGAGCTACTCCAAGGCTACACCAACCTGAGCTCAGATCCTCTCTCTAGAGGACCAGTGAATTCACACAAGTACTTATCCTTGTGAGTTCACTTTCTGCACCTATAAAACGGGACTATGAGTACCTGCCCGCAGATGGTTGAAGTTAAAGTTAGATGAGGCAGTATTAGCTACTGCCCCCTGAGCCCCCTAGCTCTGCTGGGCCCTGTGCTGGGCCCTCCACTGACACCGTCTCGTTTGCTGATTTGCTAGCATCTGGCACATCAGCATGCACGTGCGAGCTATCGTGGTTATCAGGAACCACTCACCTGGCAGATCCTAACACTGGGGACTGAGATCCTTGGAAAGAGAGTGGTATCAGGGAGCATGTAGATCTAATCTACACGCTCAGAGCCATTCCCTGTTAAATAGGACTTGGGAGAGACATCAGGGAAGATACTCGACAACGGGCCTTCAGGCCCTCGGCAGCAGTGTGCTCAAACTTGAGCCAACGTCGGAATCCCCTGGAGGGCTTCTTACAACACAGATTTCTGGGCCCCACCCCAGAGTTTCTGGTTCAGTGGTCTGGGTGGGGCCTGGGAATGTGTGATTCTGAGAAGTTCCCAGGTGATGATGATGTGACCAGTCTGGGGACCACGCTTTGAGAACCACTGACCTGTGCTGAGTGTGTGCAGCAGACAGAGCATGGGATTTAGAACCAGACAGTTCAAATCCCTATTCCACTGCTTCCTAGCTCTGTGGCCACTGGACAATTAATAAACACCTCCCCAGCCCCAGTGTCTTGCCAGGGACACCAGTAGGTGACCATCTGGGAGGCACAAAGTGAGGTCTCAGAAAATGTGCTTTTCCTCCTTGATTTAGCAGGCCATCCAGCTAAGCCACCCAAAGGATTTTTTTAAACACAGAGTAGAGGTTCCAGCCCAAGCTCTCCAGCCCCAGCGGGTTTCCCCCCACCCACTCGGCCTTCATCAGCTCCTCTCCTCTCTGCCTCCGCAGGAGGAGCCCTTTGTTATGTTCCGGAAGTCCGACAGGACCTTGTTTGGGAATGACCGGTTCGAGGGCTACTGCATTGACCTGCTCAAGGAACTGGCCCACATCCTGGGCTTCTCCTACGAGATCCGGCTGGTGGAGGACGGCAAGTACGGGGCGCAGGACGACAAGGGCCAGTGGAACGGCATGATCAAGGAGCTCATTGACCATGTAAGTGGGGCTGAGGACACCCCCACAAAGGCTTGGCCAAGTCCTGTGTGCACATCAGGGTGGGACATCCTGGCAGATGGGGGCCCTGGGGGCAGGAGAGTTGGAGTCAGGCTGTGGCCTGAAGCAGGGATGGGGCAAGGAGCTCCCTCTGGCCTGCCTTGCTCATGCTCTCAACTCCCAGACACCCCCCTTCGTGTGAGCACTTGACCACAGCCCCCATCTGACTCAGAGCCATTCACACTGGTGTCTTTGATGAGCTGGCTGTGTAGCAACAGTGCCTTCTGCTCCTTTAAGAGCTACCAAAGGATGCCCCAGCCATGTGGGTGAGCTGCCAATGCAAAACGCTTCACCAAACCCTGGGACACTGAGATAGATCCATCACTGTCTTGGGCAACTTTGGGTCCAATGGGCTGATAGGTGGTCCAAGGAGCCAAGGACCAGGATGAAGGGGTGGGCAAGGCTCAGCTGGGAGGTGCCAAAAAGACAGTCATACTCAGTCTTAGATGGGAGAGGGGCCCAGGGAGCAAGGAGCAGACGCAACAGATGGAGCTTCTGAGAGATGGTGCAAGTTATGGGAGAGCCCTGGGGTTTCTGGGACCCTGAGAGGAAGATGAAGAAGCTCCACAGTCGAGGGACACCACAGTTGGGGGAGTTAGGAGGCCCTGGGTTCGAGTCCCATTCCCTCATTTATTTGCTACATAAACAAGCGGGTCACTGGGCCTCTACAAGCGGCTTCCTCCTCTGTCAGTGGGTGTAATTCCTCCCTCCTCATAGGATTGCTGTGATCCTGGACATGAAATACTAGGTGCATGGCCTGGCCCACAGCCATCCCTCTGTAAAAGGGAGGCTTGTAAGATGTGGTGAGCCCACCCATCGCCATGGTCAGGAGCCCAGGCTGTAGATCACTGGGCCAAGGTTCAAGTCCTAGCTAATGATGAGCTACCAGGTGAGGTCAACATCACTGAGCCTCAATTTCTTCACTTCTAAAATTGAGTCATTAGCAGCTACCATAGCTCCTGCGGTTGTTGCGGGAATAAATGAGACACCATCTGTGCAGGCTCACCTGGCACCTACATGACCTGCCTTCCAGCTCAGGGCCCTCAACTCCCCAGAAGCATTTTCTATCAAAGAGCTCCTCAGGAAGGCAAGAACCTGCTCTGTACCCACCCCCTTATGCTCCTTCTCTCCTTTCTCCTGACAATGGCTCAGTGAGGTAGGTACTGTTGCTACCATCCCTTGAACAGACATGGAAGCTGAGGCAGAGGGAGGTGAAAGCCCCTGCTAGTACCCCGTCTTTGCAGGTGCTCTGAAGCCCTATGCTCTGACCTCTGCAAAGAGCCAGAGCAGAAGAAGGCTCATGCGGTAGACCTTTGCAGCCTGAGATGTGCCCGCCAAAGGGATTATTCTCACTTCCCCTGTCAGGGTGGGGGCAGGCAGCATCAGAGTCTTCTGTTAGTCTTCCTGCCCCTGTTTGGAGGGGCCTGCCCCATGGTGACCTTGGAGCAGGAGCAGAAAGGAGCAGGAAGAAGGCCATAGCTCAGCAAGAAGACTCCAGCAGAGCATCACAGGCATTTCTTGGGCCCCAGGAAATCAGGCTCCCAGGGAGGGCTGACGGGAGAGGCTAATAGTAAAGAACATGAACTCAGCTGAGCTTGGTTCCCACTCTGCCACTTATCAGCAGTGTGCTCCTCAACAAGTTTCTTAACTTCTCTGTGCCTCAGTTTCCTCATCTGTAAAACAGGAGTGATAATAAATAATAGAACCTCCCCCATAAGGCTGTTGTGTGGACTAAGTTCACACATGTGCATTACGTAATCAGTACTTGTTCTTATTATTTTTTCATTACTCTGAGACTGGGGAGGGGGCTTCAGGAAGTCCCCTTACCTCCCTGAGCTCATTTCCTAACTCAGTGAGGGTAATGACACCTGCCCTGTGTTCTTCCCAGCTGGCTGTGCAGCTCCTCGGAGACAACTAATAGAGAAGCAGCTCCTAGGTTGTGGGACTCAATATAAATGAAAGGGAGTGGTGTTGTCACCTGTATTAGTAATAACTGTAATTATTATGGAAATTAGTCAGCAGGCCCCAGAGGCATCTCCGTTTATCAGTTTCCCCATGAGCTGCTGAGTGGGACTCTGGAGTGTGGGGCCCCCAGTAGGTCTGAGTCTGTCGTTTGTCGTTCACAGAGGGGAGCTGGGCTGGGGAGGAGGAGGGGATCACATGGAGAGGGGAAGCCGCAGGTGCAAGTGAGCAGAACAGATGCCAGTCTAGTCACCATAGCATCTCTGGCAGTCAGAGAGCTCTGAAGGGCCATTTGCAAGGGGCTGGGTCAGAAAAACCCAGTGGCAGCCAGACCTTCCTAAGTGGACCCTCAGCTGGGGAAAGGAGGAGGCCTCATTCAGGCAGCCCCATCTCCACTGAGGCCACATTGACGGGACATGCAGGTGACCTTGTTAAACCAGAGTCCCTACAATTGATGAGCCTATTAATCCTAGCTTGGTGCCAATTTTAATATCATCATAACCATTTATTAGTGTCGTCAGATAATTAGTCTTCTCACTAGCTCATAGAAAGTGTGGTAAAGGCTCGGCAATATTATTACTTTCTTATTAGGGATCTGAACGTAGATGTAAAAATGATGAATGCTAACTTTATGAGGGTCTGTCCCCAGAGGCCCATTTGGAGGCCTGGGGTGGAGCCTCTGACCAGCAGGAGTTAAGAAGTCCTTTCCTGACACTTTCTGCTCACTTCTGTCCCATGCCACATGGCCCTACAAGGAGCCAGGGTTGTGGAGAAAGATGGGACATCTGAAGTGTGCATCCACCTCCTGCTGACACACTCATGTTCCTCCAAGTCACTTCCAACTATGGTAGCAACAAACACGATTGGGCAGAGTGGTGCTTTCTCTGCCCAATACCCCATCTCTCAAATCACCACGTCTCTGTTTATACTGCCTGCTCTCTCTCATGTCCCCTTTCTCAAAAGTCTTCTACTCACATCCATGCCTTTAAATTACTTCCATGTGTTTTAATGACTTTAGAAGCCAACAGTGATGAGTCCAAATTTGGGGTCTAGCACTGCTTAGCTGACAGTGGGAAAGCTCTTCAACCTCTTTGGCCTCCATTTCCACATCTGTAAAATGGGAATGATTTTTTTAAAAAGCCTTCTGCCTAAGGCTCATGGGAAGATTTAATAAGATATGGCACAAAAATGGTTAGCACAGTACCTAGCACTTAATAAATGCTCAGCGTGTGGGAGTTGTCCTGCTCAGCAGCATTCACTCCGAGAGCAGGGAATGTACATGTCTGAGTATATACTTGTGTGAACTCGATAACAGTGGGAGGCCTGACCTCTCAGGCACGGTCATCCTGGTGGGCCACAGTGATCCACGATTTAGACGTTGCCCCTCTGAATCCAAACAGGAGCTGACTCACATTGGTCAGACTCACAGGGAACTGAGACATGGACCAGGACATCACCCCTTACTTTATTTTGGGCATTGACCTTTTCCAACACTTGCCATCCAGAGCTTCTGTCCTGGTGCCAGGAAACCAGGATCCTCTAAGGGAGTGTGGAGGCCGAGCCCCAAGTGTAGAGAGCCTGAAGCCAAGACGAGAGGCCTGAAATGGGGCTGGACACACACAGAGTAGGTGTTGATGAATGTTGAATTAGCACACAGATTTGTGCACCTTCCCCAGAGACATGTGGAGTCTTAGCTATATTGAGTTTCCCATCCAAAATGTGTGAAGGGAGGGCCTGGTGTCAAGGCCATGACCCCATCACCCTCTATGTTCCCTGCCTTCAAACTAGGAACCAGATCTCAGTTCTGGCCTGCCTGCATTGGTGTTAGGAGAATTCTCAAATCCCTATTTGTGTGGCCAGGAAAGGCCCTGCCAAGCCACCTCCTACAGGCTGAGCCAATGCAGTTTAAAGTAAGGTGTGCTGGAAGCTCACCTGGGGCAGGTCAGAATCCTGCATGGGACAGGGCAATTGATGACAGGGGATATAGATGGACTGCAAAGGGGGGACTCTCATCAGGGCAGCCAGAGCTCTGGAGAGAGAGTGAGGGGCAGGGAAGTGGAGCAGGAGGGAGAAGAAGCCAATACAAGGATACGAAGATGCATACTGAGCCATCCCCACTGAGTATGACTAATGGCTCGATCCACAGGTTTGTGCCTCAGAAAAGCCTCACAAAGTGTGTCTCAGGGCCATCTCTTGGAGTTAGGGGAGGAGGAAAGACAGGTTTATTAACTGACTTCTGACTTCCATGCATTTCTGGGCTTGACATGGGGGCCATGAGAGCCAATCAGGGCCCTACAGCAATGTGCAAGGGAAGTCATGGAGGCAAGAGGTGCCCAGGTGGCAGGAAGTGAGATGCTGTGAGCTTGTACCTTTGTGAGGCTCTGTTCCAAGCATCCATGGCATGCCAGACCTGGAGGGCAACTAGAGATATGGAAGAAACCAATGTAACATTCTGACGCTCCTGCCAGGATTCCTGAATCAGCCATTCTCCCAACCTTGGGAAAGACCCAGGCTTCTTTTCTCACAGTCAGGTGTCCATCAGCTCAGGAGGCCTGTGTGTGAAACACAGGTGCATGACCCCTCAGTCAACACTTAGGAGTTTTCTAGCATCTTTAGATATATGTGGGCTGTTCCGAGGTTATCTGTGGCCACGGTGCTGAGTTAAGCATGGTGGCTGGTTGGTGGGTCAGCAGCAGCTATCACCTGTGACTCAGTGTACCCCACCCCTGAAAACTGGTATGTGGCAGGCCATGCAGGAGTGCTTCTTGGTTGAGCCCTTCTAAACCTCCAGTGCTCCCATTGATCAAGTGATTCAATTTCTTCAGTTAAATTTATTAAGTTAGGTCTCATGCTAATTGCTGTGGCCACAGAGGTGAACAAACAGGCAGGATCCATCCCCTGAGCCTCAGAATCTGACTCCCTAGTGGAGGAAAGAGACAATAATCTATGAACATATGAACATATGCAACTCTTCAGCCAGG